TGATTGGGCTGGGAATGTGGCTCAAGTGGTAACGTGCTCGCCTGGCATGCACGGGGTGCTGGGTTTGATCCCCAGCACCACATAAAAATAAAATGAAGATGTTGTGTCCACCAAAAACTAAAAAAATAAATATTAAAAGATTCTCTCTCTCTCTTAAAAAAAATACATGCTTATTTAATTAAATACCAATTCCTTTAGAATGGAGGGAAGATACTCCTCAATACCAAAAGGCAAGAAAGATAGTAAAAACCAGCATACTGGAAAGACCCCATTGCTATCAAGAAAAGAATATCAGGGACCAAAATAATTCTTTTTTTTTTTGTTTATGTCACCTAAATGACACCCCCTTAAAAAAAAAACCCAGGCTTCAAGGCACTCAGTTTTTCTACTAGATATTAGAAGGAGGGCAGAAGGAAGGAAAGCTTTTTCTAGTTGTGGGCTAAATCTTCTTGCTGTACCAAAGGTCACTGATTTCACACCCCGGTGTTAGATCAGACGCTGAACTTGTTTCTCGGATGGTCTTGTTTTTATGGCTGGTGCTGTACTGTGGATGTGTATTGAAAGCTGATGCAAGTTCTGTATCTAGATTGGCATATATCATGAGTCACCATATTAACTTCATTTATCACTGGGCTCTGAGGACCTGAACAACTGTGTTCTCCAGTGCTCGTGCCTAGGAGCCCTCCCGGTGCTCCTCATGAGCACTGTCTTAGGCTGCAACAGAGGCTCTTGGATTTTCAAGGTCTCCTGTTTCCCATCTATAAAAAGACAAACATGTATGGGTGGCTATAATGCCTTTGTGTTGGAATAATTTTATGACATGGAATGAGACATCAAGGACATTGAGGCCTCGTGGAAGCTGGTCTGAATGGGACATCAGACCTTTAACACATAAATTTGGCAGATAGTTTCACTCCTATGTGATACCAGACCCTAAGGTATTGAATGACAACATAATTCTGTAAACTGAAGTCATTTGCATTATTATTCAGAGAGGGAAGCAGTAAATCAGTTCAGTGTCAGAGAAGGACACCGAAATCGGTAGCAGGGTCCCCTGTCCTGTTCTTTCTTGCTTGTGTACAACTTTGGTCAAGTCACTTCACTCCTTTTGAACTTGATCTGGTTAAGCTCCTTGGGGTGGAAATGAGTAATGGGGATGAGGAGAGAGGCCTTGTTAAGGGAACAAAGGAAAAGTGGAACAACAGGCCTCGGAAAGAGCAAGACCTGAAAGGTGGTTCTGACTCCAAGGCAGCTGCAGAGCCCCTGCTTCTTCCAATTGACTGATGCCTAGCTGCCTCCTGGTCTGCCCTGTGGCTTCCTTGACCTCGGAGGTGCTCAAACTGTATGACTCCAACGAGGTTTTGCTTGAAAACTGGGTTCTCTTGCTAGGAGAAAAAATTGGTTTGAGCCCATGCCATTCCGTTGCATAATTTCTGATTGCTCATAGTTCTGGCCCCTCCTAACATTGGCCAGCACCCCTCTCTAGCTGCATCGGGAGTGGCAGGGAAATGGTGGGCAGGCCCGAAACAAGAGAAGCAGGGAGTGGCCGGAATTGTGGCAAGCTGGAAACTGAGTGTCCTCCCTAAAAGGGAAAAGAGCATTGCTGAGTTAGCCCACTCTGGTCCTGCAGCCTGCAGTGAGAGGATGCCAGGTCTTTCCGAGTGTTCAAGGCAAGCTGAAAATTCATTGTTTTTTTTTTTTTTAAAGTTGTTTTTGCATGAAGCTTTCTGATATTTGAATATTGGCAAGTCATTCAAAAAATATCCAACAAAGGTCTCAAGTAATACACATCTTACTGGTCCACAGGCAGCCAGCCTGCAGCTTCTAGAATTTAGAATTCAGATAAAATCATGACTTTGCTTTGTTCTACATATGAGTGTGCTCCCTCCCACCCCTGCCACCTCTTTCTCCCTCTCTTTCTTTCACTCTCTCTATACTTATGTTCACATTCCTGAAATAGAATCTGATTTACTCAGTACATTTGGGGGTCTGTGTATGTCATAGGACAACTCTGTGGACTGGCTACACTTAAGTCAGGTATCTTATCCTTAGTTCTAAAAGGGCTGCCTAAAGCTTACCCTTTCAACAGCAGCCTTGATTGGGCCAACTTTCATTTTAGAGACTGGACATGGCAAGCTGTGAACTTCATACGTCAAATATTAAGATCTAAAATTTCCTCCTCCATAATTGAATATTTAGTAAGAATTATCTATATTGGTTTCTCCTAATAAGATTCTGTTCCTTAATAAGAAAAGTCAATGTTCTATTGGTATTTAGTTAGAGTTGTGGTCAAAATTTGAGTGGTGACAAGCATACTATATTCGCATCAGAGACGCTCTAATTTACACCAAAGTTATTGGCTATTTCTCACTTTAAGAATATCATGTTGGGCTGGGGATGTGGCTCAAGCAGTAGCGCGCTTGCCTGGCATGTGTGCGGCCCGGGTTCGATCCTCAACACCACATACAAACAAAGATGTTGTGTCCGCCGAAAACTAAAAAATAAATATTAAAAAAAAGAATATTATGTTTACTAAATCAGTGACCCTTAGTGTTAGAGAAGGTTTTAACTTCTTTTTATTTGAGGGAGGTGCTAGGAATTGAACCCAGGGCCTCACACATGCCAAGTAAAAACTCTACATCTCCAGCTCTTTTTAAAATTTTATTTTGAGACAAGGTCTCATTTGTCCAGGGTGGCCTCAAACTTGCAATCCTCTCACCTCAGCCTCCAAAATACTGGGATTACAGGACTGTGTCACTGTGCCCAGCTGACTTAAGTTTTTCAAACCTCCCTTCCAGGCTTTGAATACTCTTGAATGGTGCTCCAATTAAGTTGGCTCTGCCCACATTGTGAATATTTTCATTACCAGGAAGTACACTTCTTCCAGAGGGAGCCTTCTTCATCCTGGGCAAGCTTAGTGATTAATACATTTTCTTATTGCATAAAACCCACCCACTGCAGGTGGTCAGTATGGAATAAATTTGCTAAGTGAATTTATTCATGGATTCACTCATATAATTTTTAGTGGGTGGATGCTATGCTAATACCTGACACTAGAAACTTGGGCCACATCAGTGGATATCTGTTGACAAAATGAATCTGTGCCTTATAGAGCCAAATGGGTATATCCTGGAAGTAGGAGGTAGTGAGAGAGAGAGAGAGACAATATGTTAAGAACAAAAAAAAAGTATTTCACGTTACAAGCTGACAGATACTACAGAAAAAAAGAAAAAGTAGAATACAAGGGGGTTTTGGAAGAAAGAATGAATTACAATTCTAAGTAGATAGAATGCGGAAGGCCTCATTGAACAAAGACTTGAAGGAGAAAATAGAGTTAGCAAAGTGAAGTGGATGTTCTCAAATGGATTTCCCTGCAACCCTGCAGAACTAGCTCTCTTTTTACTTCCCAGACCCCAGGGATAATAATAAAAAATCATATTGGCTTACTATCTTTTGAGTCATAGCAGAAGTCCTATGAATTCATTAAATATAACTAACAACCCTAAGGAATACTTTTTTTTGGTGGTGCTGAGGATTGAACCCAGGGCCTTGTGCATGTGAGGCAAGCACTCTACCAACTGAGCTATATCCCCAGCCCCTAGGGAATACTTTTGTCTCCATTTTTGTATGTGTAAACTGAGGCACCGGCAGCCTTAAGTTAACTGGCTACTATCCTGAGGTTGGGAAGAAGAAGAGTGGTATCTAAACCTTGCCCTTAGGGCTGCAGGCTTTGGCTCTCCTCCTCTAAGACCTTCCTTAAACCACCTGCCTGCCTTGCACTGTATGAGATTCCTGGAGTGAGATTCAAAGGCACTTCATTCTAGAGTTTGTTTTGAGAATCCTTTAGCTTTATCTAATATCCCTGGGCAAGTGAGCCGCTCAGACACTCATCCACTGCAGCTCCCCCAGAGCAACCCCAAGGCATTGGTTTTGTAAGGTCACAGTGCCCAAAACTAAATCAAATTATGCTCAGTTTTGGCCAAAAAAGAAACATACATCCTTTCCTCAGCAAATGTCACTGTGGTTTCAAAGCCTAAGTGTGATATGAGATCGGGCAGCATTTTAAAAGTATTTCCTGCTCAACCATAGGGTGAAATTGTGCAAGCCATTGAGTCCTGCGAACAGCTGCATCAAATTCTTAACACCTGCCAAAGAGAAAAACATTTTGAAAATAGTTTTACATTGTTTTTAATTTTCAGATTGTTTGGTTTTCTGTTGATTTCAGCCTCTGACGGAATTCGTTACAAAGTCAGCTGGAGATTTGGGAGCTTGAAACGAATTTTGCAAACCTAAGGGAGAGACTTCGCTTGAATTATATTTTCACTAATGCACTTAAAACAACTTCTGGAGTGGGTCTGGGAACATTTTCTTTAAAAAAGAAAAAGAAAGAAAAAATAAGGAAGGAAGGAAGCAGGAGAAAGTAAGTGTGTGTGTGTGTGTGTGTGTGTGTGTGTGTTAGTTCCAGTCTGTAGTCCTCTGTTCTGCTGGGCCCTGCTCCAAAAGCGAGCCCCAGAATCACCTCTTGGCTTCTTGGCAGTCTCTCATCCTGGGGTAGAGGCGGGAGGCAGAGCTGCTCTTGGGTGAAAGAAATGCAGCCCAGAGCTGCCTTGATGTGCTGCATCCTCCCGGGCTTTTTAAGTCAAAGAACTTGGATTTCCTGAAATTGTTGAATTGCATCTAAGCGCAGGGGCCCCCTCGCGCCCTTTACCCAGCAGGGTGAGAGTCGCTGCTAGAGGAGTGGAATGGGGTGAAGTGGGGCGGGGGTCGTTGGAGAGAGAATAAAGCCTTGTGAACAGGACAGGAAAAGTGGGAGGAGGAACGGCGGGGAGGAGGCGGCCGTAAGCTGAGAGAGGAGGGAAACGTGTCACCAGCCCGGCGCTGGGAGCTCCGCGCCCGCAGCGTTTGCGGACTCGGCGCGGGAGAGGAGCCGAGGCTGGATGCGAGGCAGAGGAGGGCAGGACTGGGAGAGGAGGGAGGGAGCGAGGGAGGGCAGGCGGAGCAGGCAGAGCGCGGCGCCTAGAACCGTCCAGGTCGCTCGTGTCTCCAGTGAGAAAACGTTCTTCCTAACACCGGAAACTTTTTCCCGGGCGCGCGGAGTCTGGGACAGAGGCGAGCGGTGGGTATGCACGGCTGCGGGTGACTCACGCCGGGTACCCCAAGGGGGTGAGTGGGGAAGTCCCCGGGAGGGGCCACAGTCCTAGGCTCAGAAACGGCCCAGGATTGAGAAGAAAATCGCTGCGCACTCTCAGGCTGGGGACGGGGGTGGAAGGAGTAGGGGGAAAGCGTCCTTTGGGCGCAACAGTGTGAGGACCCCGCATGGTTAAGAATCCCTCGATCGGACGCTGCAGGTGGGAGTAGGGAACCAGACTTACGACCACCAAGGTGTGGGCGGGGACGGGGGAGACCGCGATCGGCGCCTGCGGGTGGAGGGACCGCTGTGAGTGGGACTGGGGGATGCTGCTGGTCGTGGGACTCAGACTGAGTCAAAAGGTCCAAAGAGAAAGTTTTCTTGGTTGCTTGGTTCCCTCGGCCGGCGGGGCCCATCTAGTGAGCTGCCTATGCTCAGGCCCTGGAGACTGAGAGTCCCCGAAACAGCCCTTTTCAGGCAGTCCCCTATTTTCTGGAAGGTGGCGTGGAAGAAGAGGGAAGGCAGTCACTTTGTCCCGCGCCGCTGGGCGCTCACGCTTCGCAGTGGGCGGACAGGAGAGCAGCCCGAGGGAGACGGAGCCGGGGAGGACAGCGGGAAGGACCCAGGGCCGACCGACCGACGCACGGTGGTCTGCTCCCTGGTGTCCTGTTTCGACTTGGTCTTTCGCGCTCCCACCACTTTGGCCAGACTTTCCTCTCGCGCCTACTGTGCGCGCACGGCATGCTTCTGCGCGCAGGGGGCGCTCCGGAGCCCCAGCCCGCCGGCGCGGACCTTCCCTTCCTAGGACTGCCGCCCGGGGTTGACCCAAACAGCTTCAGAAATAGGGTGCCTCCCTGGTTGGCAGTAGGGGTTTCCCCAGCTCTACCAGTCCCCTGTCCTAGATCACATGCCGCCGCTTCTTCCCCCGCGGTGCCGGGAGCCCGCGTTTTGTTTGTCAGCAGTAAGGCAGTGAGTATTTATAGACGGCACTGCAATCCTGCGGTGTGCAAGGTTTCAATTACAGCAGTGAGATGCGCCCCACAAGACGGGAGGTTCACGCGAGGCGGTCCAGCAGACTGCTCCAGAGACCCGCATGGACAAAGCTCTGGGCTCGGCTAGTCTCCGGGCATTCCTATTCGCGCGGAACTCTGGACCTGTTGCCCAGGCAATATGTGCAGAATCAGATCTGACTCCTGTTAAGGACCACAGCAGTCCACGGAAGGCCACGGTCATGATTGCCTCCATCCTTCCATCGCACCCCCATTATACAGATAGATGAGTTGGAGACTGCCCCCCCCCCCTTTTACCTCCCTTGGGCGATTCTGATCACTACAGGTTTGCAGCCCTCACATTTCATTGCCCTAAATACTGCAAAATGTCATAGTGCTGAGCTCTGGTAAATGTCTTTCGAGGTGGAAGGTGCTTTGCTGACAATACGAAGCACCAAGTGGGTCAGGAGGGGAAATGGAGCTCACAGAAACAAACTTGGCCACATTCTGAAGTTAGTCCCTGCTGGGATTCCCAGTGCACTTGAGGGAGGTTCCTCTCAGTGGAACCTGGCAGATCGGTCTTCTCTGGTGGCCATATTGAGCCCTAGAATTGATTAAAGGAGCTGTTGAGAATGGTTTCTATCGAATGTAACCTTGCAGGTAAGGAAGGGATGCTTGGTCATCCTCAAAGTTGTCTTCAGTTTTTCCATCCTCAGACACAGTCCTTTCAGGTTTGGTTTTGTGTGTGTGTGTGTGTGTGTGAGAGAGAGAGAGAGAGAGAGAGAGAGAGAGATGTTGCCAACAGCTGGAACTATTCATGTATAAAGGAAGAAAGGCGCCAGAAATAGGTCAGTTAGACTAGCTCTTACCTCAGTCTAGGGTGTTTCTCAAGAGTGGGGCCTCATTCCTTTCAGGTCCAGAGAGCCATGGTGTATATTTATTTCAAAGGGTGTGATTTCAATAATGTTCTGTGTTGGAGCATTACAAAAATATTCCCCTTCTTAAAAAAAAAGGGGGGGGGGTGTTACGAACACCTCTCCAGATCTTACTATACCAAACTTTGCACTTTGATAACCTATGATCCACACTGAAAAACTGATGTAAGCATTATCACATCTCTGATCTATAGGTGAGTTCACTGAGGCTCAGGGAATTTAAATAATTTGTCTAAGACTCCACACACGGGCATGGAACTCAAAATGGATTTCGAGTTGTTACTCCAGGCTTAGAGACTGGAGATGTCTTGATTCCCCAGTTGTTGATTAGATCATCTTATAGGTGATTGCATTGGTGGACTTTTATTTATTTTTTTAATATCAAGAAATATCACAAAGTGGCACAATTATTGAAAAAGCCCCCAATCTTGTCTTTAGAATAGTTACACTGAGTATCTGAAAATTTCATGCTGACGGTTCAGACCTAAATGTCATACTACTTAGCTTGCTTGTTGACTTAAAGTATGTTCACTAAGTTAACCTATTTTTTCCAGATTTCTCCATCCTAATGATTTGTAGGTGTGTATGTGGTTACCTATTTCCCTGGCTTCATTCTTTTTGTACTACCCTCATACAGATAAAATATGCGGGAATCTTTCTTAAATTGTGAGCTTTTTTCCCAATCCTTTTTTTCAGGGCTAGATTTTGAGAAATAGCATAGAGGTTCCTCTGAAAGGGCCCTATAATGTCTATCATGAAAGGTTTGTTCCCAGAGTTGCCTGTCTATATGCAAAATGTAAATACTTGTTAAAGGCAATGCTTATAGATATGATCATCTGTCAATAAGCCAGTGTGTGAATTGATATCTCACTTGATGAAATTCTGGAGCATGATACTTTGTGGATTTTGTACAGGACACGGGGTTTGGAATTTGGAACAGAGAGAGCAGAACAGACCTGATAAGCAGAAGGGGAGATTCCACATTGGAGCCAAGAAGGAGGCTCTTGGTCTAAAGAATGCAAGACAGTAATAGACCATCAGAGGCCACCTTGAGTTAATTCACATTTTCAGTAGGGCCTGGGGATCCAAGGTTTCCTTTAAACTTGAATGATTAGAACAAAAGAGTTAATTTATTGAGTAATTACAGTGAACCAGGTATAGCTATGGTAATGGTATTTCAGCCTCTCAACAATCTGGGAAGGGAGATATTATTTTATCTGCATTAGGATAAGAAAACAGCCTCAGAGAGCCTTATTACTTTCCCAGGGTCACACAGTCATTACCTTAAGCCTCTCATTCTTCTTAACACAGTTGTTTGTTCTAATCCTAGGGATACGACCTAGGGCCCTTTACCACTGATCGATATTCCCAGCCCTTTTAATTTTGAATTTTGAAACAGGGTCTCACTAGTTGCCCAGGCTGGCCTCAGACTTGAGATCCTCTTGCCTCAGCCTCCCAAGTAGTTGGGAATATGGCAAGTACCACCATACCAGCCTCCAGTCCGTTTTGACATATACCTTTGAAAGCCTTTCATGAAGAACCCAGTGTCCTAAGTTCTCAAGAAGGTCCTAATGATTCACATGGAAGTTTCTAGATCAGAAGTCAAAGCCAGAGCAGTGTGGAAAGTCTAAAATGAGGGGATAGGATATGGTGGAACAATGGGGGCTGAAGCAACGGTCTGGATGATTCTTATAGCAGTTCCATGAAAGGAGACACCACGCCTGAGGATACTGTGAATACAGAGAGTTATTCGCACTGGCCTGGGAAGGGACCGTGGTCACACTGCAGAGCAAGACCTGTTGATCAATGTGCTGGATGAGGCTCCCAGTGAGGAAAAATCAGGAGTACCTCCTCTTTCCTCAGAAGACCTCCTATTATTTGGTGCCAGCTTATAGTCCCCCTAAATTAGAGAGCCTGTGGGACCTGTTTCCGTGCTAATTGGACTTGGCCCTTTGAGGTAAGAGTCATTCCAATCTCTCTCTTTAAATGTTCTTTTCTTATGCTTTGCCAGTTTATGGCCTTTGTAGATCAATCCTTGGATTTCATTGAAGGGTGAGAGAAAGAGAGAGACGAAAAAGCAAAGGTTAGTGATTACCTAAATTGGATTAAGTTCTCTCTAGCGGAGTTTAAAGAAATACTTCTTGCTCTCTAATTACTGTCAACTAGGAATTTTAAAGTCTATTAAACTTAAGCTGACTTCTATTTGAACTGCGATATTTCCAGCTGTAACAGAGTCAAGAATTTTTAGAGACTCTTACTTATTCTTCAAATGTATAGAGGACAGTCTCTGTCCCCCCATTTAAAAATATTACATTTCTATAGCAGGAAAATACATGACATCATTATACATTATACACTGGCTTCGTTAAGAAACAGAGGCTCATGGGTATGTTCAGCCGGCTCCAGCAGCCTCTGCAGAGCTCAGATGGAATCCAGAAGGGCTGTGGAAAGGGATGGGACACATCAGATTGCTCTTCCTCTTTTGACCATGGACTGTGGGAAGAATGGTGCCCACTATCTGCCGCTATCTGACCTATCATAATTATTTGTGCAGTTTATTTTGCATGGAATTATGTGGTACATAAACTCGTGTATCTCTCTCTCTGGGTTTTCATCCTCCTTCCCTTTCTTCAATTTTGAATATAGAGAGTTACTAGCACTGGCCTGGGAAGGGACAGTGGTCACACTGTCACTCAATCTCTCACCTACCCATCAGTATTCAGTCTTCACTTTGTTGCCAAACACAGCAAACACCTCCAATTTCTTGCTTCTCTGCTTGCTTCCCTCCTTACAGAACTTTCTACAACTTTCCTGGTTCTTTTCAACACTGATTGAGTTCTGTGTTTGGTTTAGGGCAGTTGGGTTCCTTGCAAATACAAGGATTAAGGGACTGGTTTGAGCTCCTTTGGCGTTGGTTTAGGGCCCTGGAGTTATGTCAATGTAAGTGGATCCTGGAAGAATAGCTCAGAGAATTTGTTTTTGTCTTCTTCCCAAGGGCCAGGGGCAGAAATCTCCCCCTGGCTCTGATGTGTGTCTGTATTAGTCTGAGCTAAGGTGCTTCGGA